TCTATATTTACAACAATGATAATTACATAAATTTGTATTTGTATCTGTTTTATATAGAGGATCTATATTCGAACAGTTAAAGTCATCTAAATTAAGTATGCAAATTTCTTCTCCAATTAGCATCTTCACCAATTTCAACTTTTCAAGTACTTTAACATATACAGTTGGATTTTGTGTGTTTTCGATAGATGGCTTTAAATATTCTTTAACATCTGTTAACGTTGAATTACCATCATCAAATCGTAATCCATGAAAATGATTATACAATCAGTTATTTGTAGTCTTATCGTTTGCCATTAACTTTGAATATTTGAATGGAGGTTGAATTATGAAATTTTTGATTTGTGAGTCACAGTCGGAGATGCAAACTTCTTTTCCTGTTTTTTTTAGAAACTGTGTTTAAAGATATAATGATGAAAATGTAAATGATATATCTAAATATATATGGAGAGAAGAAGAACATTTTCTTGTTTTATAAAAAAATGCATATATATATATATTTTTTTATTTTTTTTATTTTATTGCTATTTTATTACAACTTACAATATTTTTCTTACTTCATTTGTAAGGGGTACATAGTCAAATATTTTATAATGTATAATTAAACAGTATGCCGATGTATTAGCTGGTATGTTACTTGAAGCCTTCAATTCAATGCGGATGTCGATTGGTCCGGTTTTAACCGATTCATTTTGATGTGTTATGTCCAGAACAACTATGGGTGCAAGCATGAGAAACTCATTACGTTTCAATAGCGGATATAGATCGCGTAAATAATAACTTTGTTGAAATCTTGAATACATGTGATTTCGATTGAACCTAAGATTCAAATCATCATATGGATATGAATCGGAATTTAGATGTACCTTTACATTCGTAAAATTTTTATTTATTTATTTATTTATTTATTTAACAATACAGTTAGTTAGCTACATTACTAGGATACAGCCAAACTTAAGACTAAAAGACTAGAAAGAAAAAACTAAAAAGAAAAAACTAAAATTTATTAAGCAGGCAACCGGAACCAGCAACAACAACAACAACACTGCAACAACTCCTGCTGAAAAATTTATTGTAAATATTTATTTATTTGTTTATTATTTAACAATTAACAAATATTAACTACAAATAAATTATAAGCTAAAATTAAGCATTAAATTCAGAACCTTAGTTCAATATAAATTAAATATAACACAATATGTAAAACTATAGAGTTGAAAAAAAATATAAAAATATGAATGTATAATCATCTGGCAGCTAATCGCGGAGTATAGAAATTTTTATAAAATTTAAAGAATTAACTGAAATATCAAATTTGTGAAAATTATCATTAAAAAGTTTACAAAGCGCACGAAGCGGGTTATTACGCTGATAGTTAGTACGGCAATGCAACAACTTTAGCGGAACGTAGTGTCTAGTGAATCTTTCAGGCACATTAAAATCCAATTGTCCAAGCAAAACTGAAGAATAAATATCTCCTCTTATTAATTTAACCATAAATAATATACCTAGTGGCTCGCGTCTTTTCACTAAAGTAGGTAAATCAATCAGGTTCAATCTATTTACGGAGGGAGGTAGGGGGAGATGAGAATACCAACCTAGGCCTCGTAAGGCAAATAATAAAAAGTTACGTTGGACGGATTGAATAAGATCAATATGGCACTTATAATATGGTGACCAGACAATACAAGAATACTCTAATGTCGGTCTAACTAACGATGTATATAAACGTTTCGTAATATATGGGTCACAAAACTCTTTCGACCAACGCTTCATGAACCCGAAGAGCGATTTGGCTTTGTTAACTGATGTATCCAAATGTAAGTTGAATCTCAAACGGGGATCAAAAATAACCCCAAGGTCATTAAAAGACGACACATTTTCTAATAAATAGTTGCCAAAATAATAATTGGATGGGATTATAGCAGACCAAGAGAATGACATTTTTTTGCACTTTTTTAAATTCAAAGACATTCCATTCGTGAAGCAACACAACTGAAAAGCATTCAGATCAAATTGAAGGGCACAAGCGTCATTAGTCGGGCAAAACGAATAAAACAGTTTGACATCGTCGGCATACATTAAAACAGACGAATTACTAATACAGTTAGGAAGATCATTAATAAATAAAACAAATAACAAGGGCCCAAAATGACTGCCCTGAGGAACACCAGATGTAACTGAAATTGAGCGCGAGTACGTTGAATTAAAGGACACCATCTGAGTACGACCTGTGAGATAAGACCGAAACCAACAAACCAAATTATTAGGAAAGCCGATAAGACGTAATTTGTAAATAAGTAAATTGTGATCCACCTTATCAAAAGCTTTCGAAAAGTCAGTGTAGATAACATCCGTTTGCTTATATAATGAAAAAGATTTAAAAATAGAGCAAGTCAGTTCTAATAAATTTGTGGCTGTAGATTTATTTTTTGTGAAGCCATGCTGGGAATCAGTCAAAATCATGGGTAAACACGGTTTTTGTTTATTGACTATGAGTGATTCCAAAAGCTTCGGTAATACACTTAGTTTAGCAATCCCATGATAATTCTCAATGTTTCTTCTAGAACCCTTTTTATATAAAGGAATAATAAAACTACTCTTCCAAATAGTAGGAAAGTAACCGCATCTAATGCAATTATTAAATATACTGGTTAATGGAAGATAAAGAAAATTACCGCAAGCATGAACGATACAAGCGGGAATCAAATCTGGGCCGGCTAAATAGGAAAGTTTTACCTTTCGCAGAGCATCGAAAACTTCAGTTTCTGTAAAAGTAATAAGTGGAAAATGATCGAAAAAATTAATAATATAAGGATATTTCTCATATGTCAAACTATTAGCTGACTACGTTTTTTCGAAAAAGTTTCCAAAGAAATTACTAATAACAGACAGATCCGTTAATTCAACGTTTTCATAGCTCATTACAGATGGAAATCCATTAACCTTACGTTTTGAGTTTACAAATTTATAAAACATTTAGGATTAGAAAATAATTGACTTTTCATCCTTTGCAAATACACCGCATAAGACTTATTTTTTTCAAAATTGTATTCACGTCTAGCATCCGAATTACGTATATAATCCATAACGAGTCCACTACGTTTGAATTTTTTAAACAATCTACCCTTTTTATTTCTGATCAGCTTAAGATGTTTATTAAACCAAATAGGATAAATTGATGAATAACTGTCTGAATGTGTTATAGCATATAAGACTTAGTTATAGTATATAAGAGAATATTATAAATAGAATCATGGGAACCATCAATATCAGAATATTCTAAGTTCCAGTGGAAGCTACTCAGAATATTATGAAGTTTATTATAATTGGTTTTCTTAAATATATATCTTGTATTACACGTCTTATTAAGGACTTGCATAGTTTGCAGATTGCCTAAATTTATCCCCAATGTAGGATGATGTATGTCTTCAGGCAAAATATACGGATCCACACGAGTTACACTTACGTTTGAGTAGTTAAAAAAAATTAAATCTAAAAGTCAACCATTATTATTAACAATTGAGTTATTTTGGAATAGAAATAACTCGTAAAGTTCTTCAAAAAGGTCAGTGTTTAGCAAGATACAGGAGTGTAATAACCAAGATCTTCGTCGCAGAACCACGATACAAACGGTAAATTAAAATCTCCTAAAACCAAAATTTTATCTGAAGGTTTTAGATCATTCACCACGAATTTTATCAGTTGTAAATGTTTCAAATAAATAGAAATATCAGACATTGGAGGGATATAAGAGCAAGCTATATACAACATACAGTTTTTAAGAACAATTTTTACACAAATAAATTCTACATCAACAGTCACAGGAAAACTGGCTATTGACGATGCGCAACAATTATCGACAGCAATTAATACACCACCACCTAATCTTTCGATTCTATCATGTCTATACACTTGAAATCTAGAACAGAATATTTCAGAGTCATTAATATCAGGTTTAAGCCACGTTTCCATAAACACCACTACGTGATTGTCAGTACCAACTGAAGTCAGAAAAGCCGACTGTAGTTTTGTGTTTAAACCACGAACGTTTTGATATAATATTAGCAAATCTAGTTTTTTGAAGACACAGAAGATTGCAATGAGTAAATTTGTTCTCGGTGTTTCGTAATGCTATAAGCAGAAAACGCGGTCGTTCGTTTTCACTGGCTAATTTAACATTCGATAAAACGGCGGCACTCTGTAGAAGTGTAGGATAATAATACATATCTCAAGTTCTGAAGCATATATTTAACGGTTGGCGAGAATTGATTTTTTTAAACACCTCCAATTTGTAGGCGTCAGCGAGTTGAACATGTGGCATCTTCCATGTTATATTCAAAATACTTCATTTAATTTGTTCGTTTGCTAAGGTAGTTGTTATAGCTTGTTTATCATCTTTAGATCGTAGTAAAATCAGTTCATGTTTAGAATTAAATTATGATTTTATTGAAATCTTCCGCAAATCCAAGTAGCATCTTCAGTGGTATACAAAAATTGAAATAACCGCTCACAATAGTGAGTTCACCGTTATTAAATGACGACCATCCTGCATTCATTAGGCTCTCACTCTCACGTTTATTCAATGATGCGAAATTTTTTAGTTCCGTTGTAATACCCAAATGACGTGTGAGATCAATTTCTAACCCGTAAGGCTCATATCGAGTTTCATCAAATAGATGCGCCATACAATTATTTAACACTTTTATACCATTAGAGATTTTGCCATCTTCCTTTGATCCAGTTCTTTCAATATATAGAAAGCTTTCGCTTGGTAAGACATACAAATCTTGATTTTGAATTGATATACGAATTTCATCATTATTTTTAAATGATCGTAAACACGATGTGTAAGCAAACATAATTTTCATCAAGCTCAATTGCGGGAAAATAGTTTGCAATAAGTAACGAGGAGTCCCCGTTTAAGGTTAGTGTTATTGACATCTTAACGTCTGATGAGTGAATAAATTATCTAAGAATATCTCCGATGGCTTTTATTATTAAGATATATTGTTCATATTAATCCAAGAGTTGTGTTCCGATGAAAATCCTAACCATTTAACATAGACCATATTTCCTCTTCTCCTTAAAACTTTTTCAACTAAATACGTTTGGGGAAATTTAGTTTTCACTAGTTCATATTTATAAAATCCACCTATAACTTCACGCCCCTGATACTCTTGTAACAAGTATGTATTTGGATTTGTATTTTTTATAATTTTCACTCTAAAGATCTCCGTAGTCCAATTGGGTGTGTAGCCCTTCTCAAATTGATGTTCATATTTACTTATTCGTACATAATCATTTATTTGGAACTTTGGTCTTTTGAATATTTTTAAATTTCTGTATACCGTATCCACCAGAGATTTCTCATTTGAAGAATTCACTTGATTTGGTGTCATTTTTATCGTTCTATGAAACGTGTTATTGTATTTATCGATAAGGTCGTTATATATATGAATCTATTTATAGGTTCCTTGAAAACTAAACTCTTTCCACATCATTCCTTTTAATGTTCTATTAAATCATTCTACTGTGGACACCTTCAGAACGCTATATGTTGAATAGCGATTAATATGATTGTTTTGCATCAATTGATAAAATTGATTATGGAAATTTGCAAATTTTTCGGTTTGCGATGAGTTTTCTCGAAAATTTCCTTCATAGCATTCGTTATGTTTTGAGCAGTTTTGTTTTTCACCGCCATAGCCCAAGCCTTACTGTTAAAAGATAACGATAACCGTTATTTTGGACTGCATAGCTTATCATTTCAATCAAATCGGCTTGCCACAAATCATCAATTCCTTTCATGACAACTCGTCTTCTTTTGAAATGTTTGCGTGCTTGTTTGTGTAGTTCATTAACTATATCTCTTTTATCCCTGTTTAGATCCATCATGCAAACTCTATGAGCTTTAATCTATTTTTGTTTGTTTGCTAGTCTTGTTGTTGTTTTTTATGTGTAAAAAAAAATTTTTTTTGCTTCTTAATTCGTCCTCCTTTTTTTTACATCTTTGTCTTGTTGTTGTCGCTCCTTTAAACCAATCGATTTGAAAACGTAGTCCTCAATTATTTGAAATCGTTCTTCAGTCTTATTTATAAACTCCTTACTCTCATTATACAAATACGCTTCAACAGTCTGTTCAATTAATTTAACATCTTCTTCAACGTTGCTTGTTAGGGTAGTTTTTAATTTTGTAATTTTGTTAAATCACCTCTCATACTGTTCAATTGTTTATGATATTTTTCTTGCAGTTGTTCCACTCCAATCCACTTGAAAATATATTCTTCAATTTTATCGAATCGTTCCTCAATCTTATTCATATAGCTTTAATTTGCATTAATTAGTTGATTCTTAAGAGTTATCTCAATTTGATTAGTTTCGCTATTAATATCATTTTTGATTGTCGTGTATCATTCATCTATTTGTTTTTTCATACTATTCATTTGTAAATCAGATGAGTTTTGAAATTGTGTAATGTCGTCCTCAATGCGATTCATTTTTGAAGCGTATGTAATTGTTAGATTGTTTACACTATCTGTTAACACATAATTTTTTCTTAGCAGATATGCTTTTGTTACAGCATCCTTGAATTGTTATACTGATGATGATTAATTAAACCTTCTCCAAATTTATTTATAAAACTCATTATTAATATCATATAATTATGTTGGCCTCTCGCAATTCCTCAATAATCGAAATTATTTCGTTTTTCTGATTATTGTGGCCAACACTTTCCGAAGAAAGAAGTAAGCGTAATCTATCAACTAGCTCGTTAGGATCGTCCCAGTAGGTATAGATGGGTTTACGAGTGTCTAATGATTTTAATGATAGTCCGCTACCTTTCGTTAGAAGATTTGATATTTAAATGCTTTTGTACCTTTAATTTACGCGCCTGGTTGATAATGACGTTTGTATACAATTGTATTTATTAGAATATCTTTATATTTTATCAAATAGGTCAAAAATTATGGGTGACAACGGGGTGCACATTTTCCAGAAGAGGCATTGCTTCCAGCAAGTATTCGACTTCCAATCAAATTATCAAGAGAATGCCTCCTCGGCTGACTACTAAGTACGGCTCTTCGATGGTTTTAGCTTCCAGAAGTCCCACGGGGGGCTTGAAACAGGCCGCGGCGTTGACCAGAGTTACAAGATAAATGCCTGATGGCCGTTTCTCTTAATCTGCTACTTTAGGAATAGCAGTCCCCTTTTTATAGCAATTACGCAAGTCCTTGCCTGTGTCAACTATCTCTTATCCAATTACCTTGTTATATCAAAGGGAAACCTAAAGTTAAAGCTTGAATGTATTTTACTTGTTCTAAATCCAATGAGAAATCTATTCTTGCCTATTTTCGCTTCTGATAGTTCTTCGAAAAGTATTTGCATCAGCAGCATAATAGACGTTTATAAGGTATTCATTTATATGATTTGTTTATTCTTCTCTTGTTTTTTGCAATCCTACTCATTTTCTTTTCACGTAATACGCCAGACGTTGACGTAAGGTATTTACTAATTTCTTTTTCCTTTATTGTGATTGGTATTATACACACCTCATCGCCGAGGGATGATGATCCATTTTGTCAAAACGTTTGCAACTCCAAGAAAAAAGCATTAGAGATTCCACTAGGTATACATATCGAACATTTGTGTCCAAAATTTGTTAAATTGTTACGAGCGTGTACTGCGAGAGGAATCACAGCTAGCTACAATTAATATACTAGTCCAATATAACCATATAAAGTGGTCTTTATGGTTTTGTGAAATAGTGTGACAGTATTTTTCCAATTTAATGTAGACCAGATAACCTGAAACGACATAATTAGAGGACAAATTTTGATGCGTTTGTTTCTATATTTTTTTTTCGACAATTTCCCCTTACATCTACATTAGAAACATAAATTTTATCTAACTTTTCATTATTAATAAGTGCTCGTATAACACTATAGAGTGGGGATTACATGAATTAATGTTAGCATCATTGTTATTATTCATATTTTTATTTCGTTTTTTATCAGTATTCAATTGTGATTTACTCTTTCGTTTTGATGGGAAAATATGTGTGATGTTTTCAACCGTTTCGCATTATTGTCATCAAAACCATCTAGTGACGTAGAATTCTTTCGTTTTAAAATCTGTTTTTGTTCAATTGTAATTTGTGTTGTTGTTGTTGTTGTAGCTTTCCTTCTTTGAAATGCATTTTCTTTATTCTATCTTTTTAAATGACTCAAACCCTTTAAACTCTTCTCTACCTTAAGGCCTTTCTTGTCAATGTTCCGCTTTAAACTCCTTTTAATTGTAAACCTTTTCTTATTCTTGCTGTTGTTGTTTAATAATGGTATATTCCCTGATGATAATGATGATGTTACCAAAGACATTTCATCAATATTCATGTCTTCTTCTGCATTATGAAAATCAATCCTCCTTCTTCTTGATTACCTACGTAATCAACATATGGAGAATCTTCTGTATCATGAACTACATTTGTTGGCGCAGCTGCGGTTAGAGGGGTATTACGAAATATCCTCTTACCAACTTTTTCACTCTTTCTATACTTTAATAAATTCTTTTTAGTTTTTGCACTACTTCTACTCTTTCCACGCTTCAATAAATTTGTTTTAGTTCTTCTTCTTTTTCCTCCGTTTGGTTTATATCTTTAATTTAATAATGAATTATATGTAGGGATCTCAACATCATTATTACCCATCGCAACATCATTATCTGCCTCAGCCTCAACATCATTATAATCAATATTATTTACATCATCGTCGTCGTCGCCTTCATCACCACCATTGTTGTGATTTGCTACCGAACCATTCGTAAATGATGACGTCAGCGGTGTAGAATTTTTATTATCAAGCTTTTTAATTATCCATTTCAAAGGTTTCGTTATAGGCTGAAATGTGTCTTCCAATAAGTTAACCTTCACTATTTGATTCAATTTAATATTTCTTAGCTTCGCTTTCAACACTTCTCGTGTCTTTATAATGTCTCTTAACAATTCGTTACTCATTTGTAATCTGCTCTATATCCGATAATGATCACCTTTATATCTGATAGTGATCTGCTCTATATCCGCTAATGCTCAGCTTTATATCTAATCTGACTTACTGAACTATATGAAATTATCGAAACCTGTCCGATATCGCCCCTTATCAATTGCTCACAACAACAAAACCATATTTATATTTCCAGCACTTACTACAAATCGTTAAAAATTTCTTAAATGACATATCACCGATAACATGATCGTTGCATATATGCCTCACATTCATTTCATCTTGTTTAAATATTACTATCATATTTGCATTGTCACGTATTAAATCTTTGGGAATTCTCGTATATGTTTGACATAAATAAAAGCAATCAATGTGTTTATGTCTGCCCATGCAAAAGTAATTCCTTAATCGCATGAATGAAATTAATGAATTAATCTTACTTAATTCGATCACCAACTCAAAAAAAAATCGATCAGGGTCTTGTCTTGGAATTGCTTGTCTGCAAAAACTTAACCACTTCGTCGAAAATAACTTCAAAATATACGCAACGGATGGATTTATCAATTCGGACATCTCTAGTTTTTCAATTATTGAATACCCAAACTTACTTATAGGAAAATTCAAAGTTCTACAAGAACTATCATCTACTTTCATTGAACTTCTGGCCATCAGACAAGCAATCATCATGCATCTGAAATTAAGCTGAAAAAATTTGTAGTTTTCTCTGACAGCAAATCTGCTCTAACTTCAATCAAGAACAAAGACCCATTCAATATGTATGTCTTCGATATATGCAACCTTTTAAAGGACCCAAGCATTGAAAAATGCCACATCATCTGGATTCTAGGTCACTGCGGTTTTAGTATCAATGAAAAAGCTGACTTCCATGCTCGTCAAGCTAGGTTTGATGGTACGGTTTTGTCCATAAACTACCCCCCAGCGAAGCTTTTCTGCTAGTCAAAAAATCATCGTAAAAGAATAGAAAGACGAGTATCATGTTTTAGCTAGAGAAAAAAGTGACTGGCTTTTCTACAAAATTTACCCTTTTCTGACACCCACACTTCTACCTAAAGGAAAATTTACAACATGGGAATTTAAAGTTCTTCACCGTCTTATGAGTAATCACACTTACGACAAGGTTTATTTTAAAATGATTAAAGTCTCCTCCTCTGACATTTGCGAAGATTGCAATATTACTGAGTCTGCCGAGCACCTTATTTTTGAGTGCAGGAGGTTTGACATCCTTAGACAGTCTTTCAGTATATTTAACTTGTATAACAATTTATATGGAATTTTTCGTGCTGGTAACATTAGGCATTTGAAGCAACTGACTGCCTTTATCAAATCAGCTGATTTTTCGTTCTAATTTTGCATTTATAATTTCTATTACAATCACGAATCGC